ATTGAAATTCATTAAGTAACTTGCCAAGTAATTATTATTTGTCCAGTGTAAGCGGAAGCTCAATGGTCTCATTCGCATCGTTAGCCGCTTTCCACTTTCCCACGTGCTTCGGTCCACAACAAGTGGTTGAGACACACCCTCCATCTCCCTGCCCCATTCCATTACCAATCCCATACCACTTTGCCCCGGCATGTAGCACGCACCAAAAGAGGCAGCACAAATACGTATTAAAACGTTAATAATATGCGAGGGCCAACAACTCATGACAGCCTCAGCCCGCGAAAGTTGGCGGGTGCGATGAAAAGCCACAGACAGAGAGCTGGTCCGGACGGCCAGGTAAAGGTGGCACTGGCCATGTCCAGCGCAAATCTTTCAAGAGTAGTTCCGCTTTTTTGTATTGTTTCGGAGTCACGGCGACACTTCCGCCGGCGGGTGGATGGACAGAGTCAGCGTCCGAGTCCGAGTCCGAGTCAGAGGTGCAGGTACAGGTGGTAGGGCTTGGTGTCACCAAGAACCCTGCAGACCGCACCTGAGCTTCAGCTTCTACCCGTTCACGCAGTGATTTCGGCCCTCTGATTATCTTCATATTGTTTACAATTAAAACAATGACAGTCCACCGAATGAGGGGGAAAGGAGGCGTTAAATGTGCGGCACAGACCAAGTTCTCCCTTCTCCCTACCACCGATGGGCTACCAACTACCGACTTTCGGTAATTACTTTCGGGCCAAACGGAAGTGTTCACCATTTTGTTTGTTTGTTGTTTCCTCGACTTTATTTCTTACTGCGTATTGGCCAGCAGCAGCGTGGCCGTAATAATAATACACAAAGTTTCTGAGGGGGGGCTGGGTCCAAAGTTTCGTTCTGCCAAGTTGAGCAGACTCAATGTGACTTTGTTCCGGGGAAACGGAAAGGGAAGGTATACCTACCGAGTATGGGTTTTGGATAGTGGGTGTATTTCTTTGCGCTTCCATAAGCAGCGAATCGTTATTTTTCTATATTCTTCGGTGAGAGGGAGACAACGAATTGATTTCGCCGCGCTTCGCATTTGTTGACTTGACTGAGACTGTGACTAAGTAGGGGGAACTTACTTACTAGAAAGATAGTTTCTCATTGGCTGACTCGTCTTTGTGGAGGAACCTCCTCTTTCTAGAAGAAAGTCATAAAGGTGATGTTTTTTTATCATTTATCAGTTACAAGAAGATCGTTTTGATTGTCTTGTTTTTTAAGAAGATTCTTTTAGTTCTTCATCTTTTATATGCTATCTATAAGATATTGAAACGTTAAATGTTTATATTATCTTACTTGGTATTAACTTTTAGTAAGAAGCTTGTAATTATATAAAGGAGTCATTTCCGACCCTATAAATCATATATTTTCTTGATCAGCATCAATATCCGAATCGATCTAGCCATGTCCGTTTAATATCATAATTAAAATAAGCAATTAAAGCAAGCAACTTTGGATGTATACCTAAAACAGCTAGTTCTAGACCTAGGCCTGATCCCTCTAATAGCTTCTAAATATCTACATAATAAAATGTCATTGTTCAGACTTACCCCGGTAGATGACACATTGTGATCCATTTTCATCCTTACCTTATTCCTTCCAGTGTAGATTTACTTTCCTGGTGACTCCAATTAGGCTTCTCATGCCAACATCCACGTCAGCTTATTCCTGGTTATCCATTAGTCAGGAGATATAGTTGGGGTCGGAGGTAATCACTATCACTGCCACTATCACAATCGATGTTATCACTGCAGGTGCCACGGACAGACTAAGGGCGGCGCGCCGCTAGCGACCCTCTATTTATAGTCCGCGAGGCAAGAGAACAGAGAAAGTGTGAGCGAGAGAGTAAGGGAGAAAGAGGGATCTGTAGAGGCTACGCTGAGCGCGGTAGAGAGTAAGAGGTACCTCTTAAGATACACATAAACAACTAACGAGAGAGAGAGAGAGGGAGAGTGGGAGGGCAGTTTCCGATCGCTCCTATATCAGCTATATGATATAGTCGTTCGATCCGACTCATTCAGATTTATATACCAGTGACTCGGCAGTTTCGTTTTTAAGGGTTTAAAACTCAGAGAATAGTTTGCGTAGAGAGGAACAGACAGACAGATCTATGCTGATCAAGAATATATAGATAGATATAGATATAATATATTTTATATATTATATTTAAAAAGATATAAAAAGATGAAAGGAAATACACTTATGAAAGCTGAAGTTTATATTCTCTTGCAATCTGTGAACATTTTTCAACTTGCAAATTGCTGTCCGATTTAATGACAGAGGGTAAACAATTTCAATTGAAAGCAAATAATAACTCTATAAGTAATTTATAATATATTGAGAAAATCTTTTTTTTTATATCCTTTTTCAAGGATTATAAGCAAATAAGTTTTTATATGAAAGAATTGAAGGATTTAAATATATCAAAAATATCCTAAGCTCAAAAATCTCTTATGCAAATATCGATAATTATCGATTTAAGGAAAGCGAATACTTTATGATCAATTTCCGATTTAATTTCAAACTGCAACAGTATACAACCTCGGCTTCCCTAATTTTTATCTGAATCCCTACCCCCTTAAAGATATAGATACTTTCCCCAATGCCTAAAGGCAAGTCCTGCGACCACAGAAAGTTTGACCAGGCCGAGGCTCTGTAATCAATAAATCACTTCAAGGTTTTCTTAATTAAAACTTTTCCCTTGCACCAAACCACAAAAAGACTTCGTTCGTTCGTCGGAACATACTTGCAGAATAAACTTTTTACACAATCTATGGGAAAAAAGGACAGAAAAAAATTGATTAACTGCCCGACGACCACAAAAAACAAGTAAAGTATAAAGAGTACATAAGGACATCACACACAAGCTGAGTTCCGAACCCTTTCCAATAAGAAAAAGTTTCGACTTGAGCAAGAAAAGTGCAAGCCGAAGAAGCCACCAATAAGAGGGCGGGAGGATTCTAAAACTATAGTCGGCAAAAGCGGAAAACTATTAAGCGCTTAAGTCAGCCGGAAAATGAGACAAAATAGTTGCCCAACTAAGCTCGGGCTGAGACCAAAGTTGAGGAATATGCTGCAAGCCATTAATTAAGGGTTGCGGACCAGGTCCTTGGGGGCGGGAGGCGCCGAAAAGGACATTCGAAATCGCTTCAGACTAATTGGCAAGCGCGAACGGAACAATACAAAAGAAAAAGCCAAGCAGAAGAAAAACAAAACACAAAAAAAAATACAAGGGAAAAAGATGAAAAGCCTGGAAAATATTTCTTAAGCGACCGCAAAAGGCGAGCGAAAGGAAAAATGTGAAAAATCAAAAGAAGCGCCACAACCCCACTTGACATTTCAGCAGGTTAAGCTGCCCCTACCCCTCAGCCAGCCCAAGGACTCGGTAACAGTTTCTTGCGGCACTTCTTGGCCATAAAATATTTACCCAAAGTAAACAATGGCAAGCCAAAGGGATCCCGGCTCCGGGGGACGTGGGAAAAGGCGACTACAAGCAACCTTTTGTCACTACCAAATCTCTGCTGGCCATGAAAACTTGGCTATTGACATAATTTGTGGGCGGGGGTGGCCCAGGAACTCGGGACTCTGAGCCCAAGTCACACTCAAGGCGTTGCCGGCAGACACTTGAAGGCGGTGCGCTGCTGAAGACGAATCCACCCTCAATTGAATGTCAAGGGTCCTGGCAAGACGCCGCCCGGCTCTTGGCCAATTTAGTACTCATTCCACATGGGTTTAAGTTGCATTTACAGTTAAACTTTCATTTACATGCTCGTTACGAGTTGTTGCCGCAAATTAGCCAGGCCCTTTGTTCTGCAAGACGCCTCTGATTAGCTCTAGATGGCTTTCTTATTGGCACTTCCGGGCGAAACTTTGCCGAGCATACTTTTGGGCCGCTCGGAGTTGGGAAGGATGGATGGATGGATTTGTACTTGGAAAGTGCTATCTTATCGAATCCTTGATAAACCTCAACTGTCGCCAGTGTCTCTCTATCTAATCGATGGCGCGCGCTTTTAGTTAAATTATTGACTCGACCCGTTTGCCTAGGCACTTTTATTTGCTTCAAGTACTATTCGGATTTATCATCACATCTATCTATATATTTTCCTATATATGTATATCTGTATCTGTATCAGTATCTATAAATGCGAGTGCGGTTTACCCTTAAAGCAAACAATCGAAGCTCTGCTCAGCTCTAGTCCCGTGCAAATAGAGCGCGAGTATATATTTGTTTGCATTTCGGTTTGTGGCCCAATCTTATCAACCGCCGGAAGAGGAGGAAGGGTTTAATCGCTGGAGGAGAGGGGTAGGTAGGTAGGTGCAACTACTACCTTGTGGGAGAGTTTTCCTCCCGAGGAGTGAGTGAGTGGGAAATGCATATTAATGCACTTTAGCTGGCAGTCTAATTTATGTGCGACCTGTTACTTTCCACCTTCCGTCAGTCGAGTTAACAAATTAAACGCTCTGCTTCCGCTCCGAATAGGTCCAATCAGCCCTTGGTTAGCACCCAAAAAAAAAGCACCCTCCTGGTTACCACCGACCAGGTAACCCACCCCCCTTTGACTTCCTTCCTGTCCTTTTTCCAACTCGGTTCCCACCAAATATTGGGCCTAGACAGCGGCCCTTCTGCGGAATTTCCCGTTTATTGGTTTCTTTCCGGATATTGTTATGTTCGGCTGCGAACGCCTTTTCCTTCCGCCGCTCAACGCCTTCGAACCCTTGGACTTGGCTCGAAAAGTGCAAAATGATTGCGGTTTCATGTTGCCTCCCCCTCTCAGGTGTGCTCACTCCCAACCCTTTTTTTTCCTAATGTCGAGGCGACACGCAAACTAAAATTGTTGCTGTCGGTTTTTCACCTGGGAACCCCCTTTAACGTTCCTCCCAATTGGTTAATGTTATACGCTTTTTGATTGTTTCCATACCTCAGCATTAAGAACACGTCTTTGTTTTTGAATTTCTTTTAAAATTTAATTAAAAACTAATGAACTTTGCGATCGTCGTTTATTCATTCAATCAATATATCTAATGCTGCTCAGTTAAGGATTCATTAATTAAAGTTTCAAGTTCAGTTCGAAGACGATCACCGCAGCTTGCAACATATTTTCATTTAACCATTATGCTAGATTTTAGTCAATTTCGTAAGATATACCACATGATCCGTTGTCCGCAAATATCACTTATGGGTCTACGGGCAGTCTCTCCTTATCTATTCACTTTCTCTATTTCTATTGATTGCTATCCGACGGCCACCTGGCTATTTGGTGAGATTCTTTCGCTGCTCGGTGACATCCTTCTCGTTCAGATGGATCACCCGGCGGCCAAACCGTGCAGTTAGTTTCGAGAAGAAACCCACCCGGGAGGCTGGTTTGGTATCATCAGCGGACAGTGGCGGCGTCTGATAGTGATCGTCCTCTCCCGGAGCTCCGTTCCCAGCTCCAGCTCCCCGCTTGCCACTGCGACCCTGTCCAAAGTGGAAGGTGGATCGCACAGCGTTTTGTCGGGTGAAGGGTTTGTCGGAGGATCTCTCAGTGCCAGCTGCTCCCTGAAGTCGATCCAACAGACGCCCGCCAATGGCCGGTGACTTGGGCACCAGGAGGGGAGAGCCATTCGGCGGCTCTGCCTTCTCGTACAGCGTGGTGGGTCTTCTAGAGATTCCCTGGGCAGTGCTTGGGGTTTGGGCTCCGGAGTATTGGTAGCGAGGCGGCGTGCTGGCTAGCTTCTGGGTCTGAGCCAGCTTACGCTGGGCACTCAGCAAAGTGGGCTTGACATCCACCGTGACACCTGCCGCCCCCCGCTTGGACTGACTTGTTGCCTCTGATCGTCCTTGGCCACACGCGGGACCAGAGGCCTTGCGAGCGGGAGTGCGGCGGGTGGGCTTGGCAGGTGGACCCGCTGGAGGCGTTGAGGTCGAGGTCGTGGTATGGCCATTGGTCAGGCGAGACGCTATGGGGCGACTAGTTTGGGATTGAGTGGGCGGCGGACTGTTGTCCAGGGCCAGTGTAACCTGTGCTATGGTCACAGTGGGCGTGGTGATCGAGGGTTGTGGTAGTCCAATCTGTGGAGGAGTACTGCTCACATCGCTCGAGGATCGCGCGTGGCGCTGCGAGTGGCGCGGCTTGGCCACGTCGAGAAGCATGTAGGAGCAGTAGATGTCGTCAAAGAGCTGCCCCTTCACCGACTTGACCACATCGCGGTGCTTGTGGCCCATGGATACCAGCACATCGTAGCGATCGGGATCCTGCAGATCCAGTGGCTTCTCCCGATACACACGGAGGCGGTCGTTCTCGTCATGGCCCAGATTAATCCACTTGTCGGACATGACGGCCGACAGCGATGTGCGCTTGGCAGGATTCAGGACCAAGAACTTGCGCATCAGATTCTCGCAGTCCATGGAAATGTAGTAGGGCACTCGATATTTGCCCCGCAAGACGCGATCGCGCAGCTCTTTCAGAGTGCCACCATCGAAGGGCAGAGATCCTGACACCAAGGTGTACAAAACCACGCCCAGGGACCAGGCATCCACCTCCGGCCCGGCGTACTTCCGGCCCATGAAGAGTTCCGGTGCGGCATATGGCGGACTGCCACAAAACGTCTCCATGTGCGCATTCGGATCGAAGGTATTGCCAAAGCCAAAGTCCGCAATCTTAATGTTCAGATGTTGGTCAAGTAGCAGATTCTCCGCCTTGAGGTCACGATGCACCACAAACTTGCTGTGGCAATACTGAATTGCAGACACCAGCTGCCGAAAGATCACCCGAGCATCACGCTCACGCATCCTGCCGTTCTTCACCAGATGATCGAAGAGCTCGCCCCGGCTGGCATACTCCATCACCAGGTACAGCGTACGCTCCGACTCGATCACCTGGAAGAGGCGAATGATATTCGGGTGATTCAGCAGCTTCATGATCTTGACTTCGCGGTACAACTTCTGGCGCGCGCTAGTGTTCAGCTGCGTCTTGTCAATCACTTTGATGGCCACCTCCCGGCCGGTGGGTACATGCAACGCTAGCTTAACTTTGGCAAAATTGCCTTTTCCCAGCGTTTTCATGATCTTGTATACACCATTGCCGTTGCCGTTTACATACGACTGGAATTTGAGCTCTCCCGTGCCCCCGTCGGTGGCATCCTTGCCAGCGGGGGTCGCGGTTGCAGACGTGGCAGTGGCTACCGTTGGCGTGGCTGGTTGAGCTACCGCGCCAGTGGTCATAATGGTACCCGGCGCATTAGTAAGGTGGTGGGGGTCCGGTTCGTTTTCCTTATCGGAAGATTTGTATTTATTTGCTGCTGTCATCGGTGCTTGATCGGCCGATACTCTATCGATATCTGGCACTACTTTCGCCGCACTCTCGGTAGCCAAAGTGAAGTCTAATGCTTCGAAGCTGTTCTCCAGCGACATTATAATACTTCTAAATTCGTATCCAGGTTGGAATTTTAATGCTCAGTCAATGGTTGCTTAGTTGGATTATTGTTTAGGATCTCCGAGTGTGTCGGGCACGCGTCGATCGGTGGAAACTGGTGCCTCCCCTCAAGGCGTAACGAGTGGTTCTCCGTCAGTCATCCATCAGCGGTGTTGTGGTGTTTGTTTGCACATCTGCTCGATTTCGACACCCTTCGAGCTTTAAGATAAGACCGGAGTTTCAACCCTCAGCCACCCCGGTTTCTGGCTGCATGGCTGATAAGCAACTCCTGTCCGTCCTGTCCTGCTCCTTGCGCCAGGATCACTTTGTCTCGACCCCCGACCGCATGAGTTGGAATTCCTTTTTAGGAGGCGCTATCACCAACCCCCTGCCTGGCGTGGCACGAGTCCTTTGTGATCCTTCGCTCCGATCGTGTGCCCCTGTTTCGTCCTTGTTTGCTAGTTGGCGAGGATACGTCCCAGCTGGTGTTCGGTTTCCTTCTTCATCGGCAAGAGCCAGCAGCTGCCTTCTGTGGGTAGCAAAGAGAAAAGAGAATGTTTGGATGAGAGGTTGCTGCTATTTCAATTGGAAACTCGTACATTAGAGGTCTTAAGAGAAACCATTGGGAGAGTAATGGGGCGGCATTAATGATTCCTTAACTCACAATTAACTACACAGGGGAAAATCTTTCAAGGCATTATGGTTTTCATTATTTTTTTTAATTCTAGAGTAGTAACTAGTACTATTACATATTATACCCTCACAGAATATTCTAATTTCAGTCAGAAACAAAAACATCGAACATCAACATAAAACACTCCGGAAAGAAACTTTTTTTTTTCTAAATTTGAAAAAAAGATAAGGGGTTACATCATTAAATTTTTCAAAAATTAATAAAAATTTTAAAATCTTAAAGTTTTATATTAAGTTAGCAGATTTATTAATCTAATAAAAACTAGCATAGCAACGTTTTCCGATTTAAAATGAATGCTTCTTTGGCTTAGTTATGAGTTTTTTAAATTTTGATTTTTGGACAAATTTCCATATGTTATAATAATACCCATATGTAGAAAAAATAAATAATAGATTAGTTTTGATAGATTTCCTATACTATTCCTTAGTTCCATTGCAAACCTATATTAGGGAATCAACAACACAAAAATATAGGAATAATTAATTTCAGAAAATAACGACTAACAATTGATATTATTTTCTGGTTCTATTGTTTCCTTTTTATTTTTATTTATTGTACAGTAAAATTAATTTAATGAGACATAAAAGTCGCACATTTTCTCGTCACTTTGCACCACGGTGCAATAAGTGATTTGCATTGTCCCAGGACCCTCTCGGATATATTTTAAAAACTAATCTTTCCCTTTTGTCCCAAGTCATTTTCTTTGCTTCTCCCCGTTCTTTCCATATATATTTTTTTTTGCATGTCCTGACGATCTCTACCTACATGCACACAGACTCACCTATTATGGAACTACCCTAATGGTTTTTACCTACCTCTATTCGGATTCTGACAAAAAATAAAACTACAACTACAAAGGAACGGGTCCTTAATCTGCCTTTTCTTTTCTCCCGGTCGTTCGTTCGTTCCCTTTCGTTTCTCTCTCTTTGCCTTTGCCCGTGCCTTTCGGGTTCGTGTAACAATTTCAGGTTTGCCTGCCTGCACTCCTTTTGCATGTGTGTATGTGTATGTGTGTGTGTCCTTGATCCTTGCCTGACTTGTTGTTTTGCTGGCCGTCGTCATCCCTCGGTCTCCTTTAGCTGTCGCTCTTCGCTTCCTTTTTCTGCTCCTTGCCTTGCCTGCGTGCGTATGTGTTGCATGGCTTGTTGTTGTTGTGAAATAATTCAATTGCAGCTGCCACTTTTGGTCTTTGTGTTTATTACTTTTGCCTGCTCTTCTTGTTGCGCTTCTCTTGCCATTCTCATTTCCCTTCCATCTTATTTCCTCTCTCTCTCTCTCTGTCTCTGTCTGTTGCACAATTAATAATAACAAGAACAACAAACGAAGCGATGTGTGTGGAAATTCGCCACAACAACAAGTACACACAGCTCTTAATTCTGAGAAATCGTGATCTTGTTGATCTCTTAGTTGGGTTTTAATCGCTTCCCTTGCCTCCCCCTTTGAGTCAAGTTCAATGCACCCCACCTAGGGGTCACCCCCCACTTTCCAACGCCCCTCGCTCTCTCTGGGTTTTCCCAAGACACCAAGAAAATAACACATGGAAACATATGCGGGTCTCCCTTCTCGTTTTGTTCCCCCTTTGGCTTCTCTCTCTCCGCGAGATCTTTGGCTGTTCCTCTTCATTCCTTTTGCTTCTTCTCCTGCTTCTTTTGCTTTGTCTGCACCTTTTGGCCTGTTTCTTCTATTTTGATTCTGGCTCTCTGGTCGTCTCCCTCCTCCTTCTTCAACTTTCTGGCTCCGCTGAGTCATCGGTGAGTTTGGGGACATTTAGGCGCCGCCAGTCAGCAAATCCATTGTCAACTGGACTGGACTGGATACACACACACACACACACACACTTTTGCTGACCTTATTACTTCTGGCAGATTCCCCGCGGAATTGAAACCATTAAGAAGACGCCCCCTTGAAGACACACTGGAAATATCCCCGGGGATCGGACGCTTATCTAACACACAGAAACTGCGTGGCCAGTTAATTACACACTTTACTCACAATCAAAAACGAATTAGCGTTAATCCAGAAAGCAGAAATACAGAAAAACAGAAATAAACACTCCACAGAAAGCCGCGTCTCACGTATCTGAAGAGCGTCCAATGTATCTGAAGAGCGAGAGCAAACTGTCGGATACGTATCTTCTTCGTCGAACTGAACGCTGAAGACAGGTCTTAAAGCGTCTCAGACGGTTTGTTGCGAGAGAGAGAGAGCGCGAGAGGCATCTTTTTCCGCATTTCCTTCTTCTTGTGCTCTTCTTGACGCTCTTTCTGCTCTTCCTCCATTACCAGCTCTTTCTTTGCTCTTCCGCTCACTCTTTGGCTCATTCGCCGCTGAAGGTCGTTTCCTTGAGCACTTCTTGCCGCCTGACGTCACCAACTTGAAGGGGAAGGGCAAGCATAAAGTACTCTTCGCCTTGTTCTTCATCTTCTTCTTCTTCGCCTCATTGTGGTTCGTGTCTTTGCGGCGAATTTGCCACCGAACTTTACTTTGCCTTTGTTTGTAGTTTGTCTTCGTCTTCGTGCTGCCTTCGGCTGTGGTGTGGGTTTTCTTACGATGGTGTTCGTACCGGCGGACTTGCTCGCCATTCGTCACAATAGAGTGGGAGCAGCCGATGGCCGATGTCTGACTGGGTTTTATTGTTATATTGGTGTGTGTGTGTGTATATGTGTGTGTAAGCACCAATAAGAATCGGCCAGTGGGAACCCCGAAACCCTTGCACATTCCCCCTTCCCTACGTATCGTTAGGGAATGATTAAAAAGTCGCCACAACAAATAATAATAATAAAGTGCATTTCTTTTGGGGGCCGGCAAAATATCTTTCTGGCTTTCATTTGGCATCTGGCATTAATAAAAAGAAATAAAATAAAGCACAGAACAAGTCACAATGACAAAGTAGGCGACAAGGCGGAGGGATAGAGACGCTTCTGATGATTGTAATAACAGTTTCTGTGATTCCTCCTCGATGCCCGATCCATTCCGTTCCCTCCTTGAAGGCAGGCCATAATTAAAAAGCTTTCGGACATCCTTTAAGCCCAGCGCAGAGGCAGAAGAGCGTTATCCTTTTGGCTTTGAGATGGAAAATGGAAAGTAACGGTCTACGACAAAAACAAAATAAAACAAAGTATTGCAAATACTTGAGGCAAACGGGTACAAAAAGTATTTAAAATATTTTCATAGAAAATATATCTGTAATATTTTCCGAATTTAAATGGTGATGATATAATTAATTTCACAGTTCTTGATTTCACTTTACTTAATTAAACAGTAAAGAAAAATTCAAAGAAGTTTATCCCTTCACATTTAAAACCTTTAATTGAAAATATATACAAATCAAAGCCTATCTAAAATATTCTACAAATAATAAGAAAGTAGCTTAAAACTGAATGGTATCTATGCATCTTTTACAATAGATTGTAATAGAATATAGTACAATATTAATGTTAAAGTTAAGATAATTTCCATTTCCCATCTTCAATTCAATTATTTCAATTGAAGCTATATTTTAGCTGCTCTAAAAATTCTGTTCAATGAAATTTATGTTAACCTTGAAGTATCTATATAACGTGGGGAAAATGTTCAGCAAATGAACTTACATTTGCATATAAAGTCAACCCAAAAGAAGCCAAGACAAGTAGGCCAAAGTGGCATGTTAATGGCTAAGCGGGTAATTCAGCATTCAACCGATAAGACGGAGGGGCTTCGGGAAAAGTATCTGCCAGATACACGTGGCACGCACAGCACCAGCTGACGCTGACGCTCTGGCAAAAGGTTTTCCTCCTCAGGCCGACAAATCACAGTTGGCCACAAAAGGACACGCGCCACCTGATCGGTATGCAATATCCACAAGGATATTGCCAGCCATTTCTTCGGCAATATTTGATCGTGCTGAATGGGGAAAGAGCAAAAAAAAAAGCAGATTGCAACTGCAGCTGACTTCGATTCGGTGGACAAAAGGATCTGCGGCAAACAAAGCAGCCACAGGATATGCGATACAGCCACTTTTGCACATTGCCCCGATGAGTTATGGACAGGACCAAAGAAGAACAGCATCTTGACAGACTGAATGCGGGTGCATATCGATTTCCACATCGTCCTCCGGGGGCTGGAGTGACTCCTTGGGTCCCCGTGATCTGCATTTTTGCGTCCTTCTTGCCGCATCGCGAAAGGTGCAAAATGCAGGACGAACGTGCCGCAAATTGTATGCTCCGACTTAGGGATTTAATTGGGTTTACTCAGACTCAGACTCAGCCGCTGCTTCTCCTTCTCCCGATCCAGTGTCGATATTCAATAATATACATAAATCCTGGAGCACAGCTGCCACTCGGCTAAATACACAAATTAACCCGTTCAAACAACGCTTCCTTGGAAAGTGTCAAATGCAACCTCCGATCAAGGACCAAACAAAGGACAGCCAAATGAGGAAAATGAAATGCATTGTGTATATGTCTCAGACGACAACCAGGAATCACAATTTTCAGCTGTCTGGGAGAAGCAGAAGGAGTGGGGAGATGGAAAAATTCTGTGATTTTCATCAAGAAAATGCTTGATTTTCTCACAGTTTTCCCGGGGCATTCTCGCCAATCATTTGTCGGCCACTTCAGCCCTTTTTTTCTGTTGGGTTTGTCGTGGCAAATCCTTTGCACTTACTTTGCATCGCAGGACATTCGGTTATTCCTTCATTCATCCATTCATTCATCCCTCGGACCCCGCTACCTGCCTTTTGTCAAAGGGAAAACCCTTCGATTTGCCTCGGTTTTGTTATATTTTTGCATAGTTTTTCCCCCGGCTTTGTTTCTTCCGGGGAATGGGGAAAGCAATGCTTAGGGGATAAACA